CATTCCACTTCCTGATGCCAAATTCTGGGCGAATCGGAATATGTGTTAGACCGCTGCAACAAAGAGATGTCAAACGACATTGGCTTAAGCAGAGCAGAAGTTTGTGTTTCTGTCTTGTGAGTTGCTGGTTCAGGGTTTCGGTCATGGTTTCATGGTTTGAAGGGCTCAGGCTTCTTGTATCTTCCCACTTCGCTATTTTAAACGCGCTGCTTCCATCACGCTTCACGTCTAAGAAAGCTTCTGTCCTAGGTTGGGCCACTCAGGAAACAGACTCTGAGACAGATCTGCAGACAGGTGCGTTCGTGGGCGGTGCTCCTGGGAGAAATCCTCCTGCAAGGGCCTGGTGAAGGCAGGTCCAGGCACAGGGCAGAGATGGCTGCGACGCAGCCACAACGCAGGACACAGCCACTCCAGCTCTGGAGCTGTGACAAATCTGGCCCCCAAGTTTGTCTCAGTTAAGACAAGGAGCTGGGCTTGTCTTCCCTCCAGTCACTGGATTCAGGCCCCCATTTGACACCTCTGGGGAGGAGGCATAATTTTGGACAAAGTTTCAGGGAAAAGGCTCCGCTGAGCTGTGAGCAGATGATACTCTTGGCAGTTCAGGGAAGGAGCACCTCAGTTTTTAATAAGATTTTATGTATGTATGTAATTATAGAGAGAGAAGAAGGGAGGGAAATAGAAAGGGAGAGAAATACCACATGAGAGAAAAATATCAATTGGTTGACTCTTGTATGTGCCCTGACCAGGGACCGAACCCCAAACCCAGGCATGTGTCCTGACTGGGAATTGAACCAGAGACTTTTAGCTTTGTAGAACGATGCCCAACCAACTGAGCCACACGGTGAAGCCCAGAACACCTCAGTTATGAAGGAGGTCTTCACTGGTATCCAGTGCCACAGTGTCCAGGAGAGCTCCCACAGGTCTTGCCACCAGTTTTACCCACGCAGTGGGACATAGAAGTCCCCACAACACGTCCACTTATGTCCTTTTGGCCAGATGTAGCCACATGGTGGCACCTGCCTGGAAGGGCCATGTGCTCAGGTAAAGACCGAAGAAAGAAAGCAAAAGTGAATATTGAGTCTTCTGGAAGTCTCCGCCACATGTCCCTTGTCCACCTGCAGCCATCACCCCCGCTGCCTGTTCCCCTGAGAACCTGGCTTCCCCCACTTCTGCATCTGTCCTTGCTCCAGCAGGCACTCCCGCCCTCTCCTCTTGGACTGTCTCTTTCAGTTGCACCGAACTAGCTCCCAGGGAAATACAAAGATTTTATTAGTTCACATAATGGATCAAAGAGTGGATCTAACTTTAGGCCTGGGTAGATCCAGGGGTTCAAATGATGTTACCAGGCCTCGGTCTCTCTCCTTTTCCTGACTCTGCCTTCTGCTGAGCTGGTTTCATTCTCCAGCGGCCTCCTGCTGCACGGAGGCAGACAGGCCACTGACCGCACCGGGCTCCCGTTCAAACTCAGAAAAGAGCACGACTTCTCGTCTTCGGTGTCCCTGTGGGGCTGGGTGCCCGCCCCTAGACCTATCCCTGTCCAGGGGCTGGGTGCTCTGCGTGTCCAGCCTACGTCAAGCCCTGCCATGTGTTCAGGGAAGTGAGACCCTGTGGGTCACAGTAATAGCCCACCCCAACCAGAAACACTTGCAGTGGGGGATAGGCATGCCCTAAAAAAAGTGGGGTCTTACTACTAAAAAGGAGGGTGGGATGCTGATGTTGGGTGGGCTAATATATATAACATGTCTTCAACGGAACTCTTGGTTCCCATCCCAGCCTCAAGTATGTGCTGTCTCCACTTTTACCACCTGGCAAATGGCACCTCCATGACCCTGTTGCTCAGGCCAGAAACCTGGAAGTCATCCTTACACGTGCTGCCCTCTCCACCCAGCACCCCACCTACCGATTCTACCAGCCAGGTGTCCTTGAACCAGCAGCCCCTTCCTCCACTTTCTCCGTTGCCAACACGTCACTCAGCCTCCAGCACCTCTTTCTGTGCTAATCCCCAGGGTCTCCCCCCATCTCTGGGTGTTTGCTCACACTCTTGTTGCTGTTTTTCGCGTGACAATCAGAGACATTCTCTTGAAACGTACAAATGAGACTGTAGTACTGTGATGACTAGGGGTGTACCTGGAACAAATGGGCTTCGGTGCAAAGTATCCAATTCTTATTTTCTATCGGGTGAGTCCCCAGCTAGAATCCACCTGTCACTTATCGCAGCACTTGCCTCCTGAAGGCTTGTGCAGCACCTGTTTCTTCCCCTAAACTGGAAGCTCTGGGAGGTCAGAGGTCTCGTCAGTCATATACCCCACTGCACCCCAGACACTACGTGGAGCACTTGGCCCCGGGGGATTGGAGAAGCCAGACTGGTGTTCCCAGGAGGGGCAGGGAAGGTTTTGGAGCCAGCTATCTTCCCACCGCACCTTGTATTTCCCAGAGATCTCAGAGTCCTGGGGTGGGAGGAGGCAGCAGACCCTTCCTTCGTCTGAGCTCCCTACCTGGGGAAAAACCCAGGGAGGAAGGGGTGGGAAGAAAGGTGGGGCCCAAGGAGGGAATGAGGCTGCGACTGAAGGTAGGAGAACGCAAAAGATAAGAAGGGCCAGCAGAATACAGGGTGAAGCAATCCAGAGAAAGAGCGGCCTAGGGACATCAGGAGGTAGGGTTAGGGAAGGGGGCGGGGAGAGAAACCGCTCTTTGAACTGGCTTGGGGGGATCCTCCACACACTGACTCAGGTACGGGGAAGTCAGGACCGGACCCCCTGCCTTGTGCTGGGGGTCTCTCCGTCAGCCCAACACCTCTAGGGAGAGAGTGGGGGACACCCAGTCAGAGGCTCCTCCAATCAGCAGCCCCCACAGTCCATGGTCACTGCCCCCAGCAGCCTAAGTCAATGTTTAGTGGTGGCCTGAGCCCAGGAATGCTCTATCAGGACATGCAATTACAGGGGTTGGGTTACAGCCCCAGGACTGGCGAGGGCTCCGTGGCAGGAGATAAGAAGGTGGCACCAGGAAGGGTTGTGTGTGTGCTAAATTGCGGGCTCCCAGCGCACCCCTGGGGCCGGCTCACAAGGCCTCCATTGTTGGGGTCTGGCTCCTAGCCCATCGCCAGCCAGATAGGAGCTGCTGTTGTGACAAGGCAAGAAAAGTACACCCCAAGTTCGTACAGATGCCGTTACCCCATCCTTATCAGGCGGAGGGAGGGGAGCTAGCAAAGGTAATGTTGATTCAGAGAAAAAAGGAATACTAGCAATCATGGCAAAAGTCAGTTCCGGCAGAGGGGATGGGGGTCAAAGGCACTACTCCATGCAGCTGGGGTTTTTATAATACACAGCTGGAGGCAGGATAGGACAGTCAGGAGAGCCCAGGGGTTGGAGAGGAGGCCCCCAGTGAGCCCAGCCCTGTACTGGGGAGCATTGCGGGGCAGAAGCTAGGCATGTGCACGGCGCTGCCTAGGACTTGGAGTCTAGTTAGGAAAACATGGTTCATTTCCTCACCCAGCATAATCAAGAGCCCACCACTTGCAGGCTCTGTTTGTGGGTGTGGGGGGTTCATGGGGCTGGTGTTCCAGTGGCACAAGTCTGAAAATAGAGTCCTGAAGACTGCAGGAGCAGAAGGCGGGTCAGACAGAGGGAAGGGGGTGGTGGCTTGGGGGTGGCCGGTCAGGAAGGCTCTGAGGCTGGGGACTGAGGATTGGGGCCAGTTATTCCCAGGAGGCCAGAATGAACCCCAGCTCCTTTTCCAGCCAGCTGATTCGAAGCAAGAAATGTTGTCACAGGAGCCACGGTGTCCTCATCTGTAACACAGGGATGACGAGAGAAACCCTCCAACTGAGGATGGAAAGAGAACCCATATCAGCGCTGAGCGCACAGCTCTTCGGCACACAGTAGGCCCTTGGGAAATCACGAAGGCGAGTGAGATTCAGTCATCAGCTCAGGTGTCTGAGAGTCACACGTGGGGGCGGAGACAGAGATGCGCCTGAGCCCGGGGGTGGTCCAGGATGGGGTTGGCCGGAGAGGAGCGGGGAGCGGCAGCTCTGAGCGGAGGAAGAGCATGAGCAAAGGAAAGGCAGCCCCGAGGAGCCCAGCCTGTGTTGGGGGTGGGGGTGGGTGTGGGAGCTGGGTCATTCACATGCTCCTCCCCTCCCCTGCCCCCCACCAAAGGGACAATCTGAAGGCAGTAACTGCAATCACTATTTAAAAACTCTGCTGTGTCGTTTTGACATGTCTTAAAATATAGATTTGGAAGAAAAGAGCACTTTAAGGATAAAAAGTTCCAGGAATGTGTCAGTTTGGAGAATCTGCTGCTCCCAAAGCAGTGAGTAAAGAAGGCCATTCAATGAGAGCTGGACGTTTATTAAGAGGAAAGACCATGGATGGGTGCAAGGCTGGTTGCCGGGAAACCGCTGATTAGAAAGGGCTGGTGGGGTGAACTCATGTCCTGTGCCTGCTCATCATGTGCCAGTGTGGGCCTGAAGCAAAGCTGCCACCGGCAGACAAGGCACGAGACGCAGGGAGGGCCTACGAGTCCACTCGGGCTGCCATAACAAAATGCCGAAGACTGGGCGGCTTAAACAATGGGCTGTTATTTCTCTCAGTTCTGGAGGCCAGAAGTCCAAGACCAAGGTGCTGGCTCATTGACTTCCTGATGAGGGCTCTCCTCACGGCTGGTAGACAGCAGTCTTCTAGCTGTTCCTCATGTGGCCCGCCTCTGTGCAGGTGTGGAGAGAAATCTCTCCTGTCTCCTCGCTGCTCATAAGGACATCAGTCCGATTGGATCAGGGCCCACCCATACGACCCGATTTAACCGTAATAAATGGAGCCTTCCTTAAAGGCCCCATTTCCAAATACAGCCACACTGGGTGGTTAGGGCTTTAATGTGTGGATTGGGAAGAGGAAACACAAACACTCAGTCCATAACAGAGGCTTTCTTTGGTGGGCAAAGAAATAAGGCTTTTCCTGGGATTACTAGGACTCACAGATTCAGCCCTCCTCTTGGGGCAAATAATGCTGACAGTCCGAGAAGAGCTACGGGTGACCCGCTGCTCCCCAGGAGCTCTGAGGACAGTTCCCAGAGAAATTCTGAAATCAGAAGATGAAAAACAGTTAGCTTCTGCCATCACTTACTGTCTGTAGACATTTAATGATGGAAATACCTGGCTGTGCCCGGCTGTTTTAGAGTTCTTCACATCTCAACCATCGTGGGTAGCAAGTCGTCATGCTTCTTAGTTTAGGAAAGATGGTGATTCCAAGAGAAGATCACTAGGACAGAAAAGAGCACTATGTTTCATCTTTTAATTATGAATGCCTTAGAAAATCCTAACCGGCTGGCTCACATAATGTGAATGCTGTTGCCGCTGTTTTTCTTGCGGTGACCGTCCTGTGAACGGCAGGTGCAGAACTTGCAGGGGAAGAAAAATAACACTTGATGGGGCCTACTACGTGCCTGTTATTTTATATACATCATCTGATTTATCTTCTTAGCAACCCTGGAAAATTAGCGATAGCCCCGTTTATTTGTTGAATTGCTTGTCTGAAGGAAAGGTTAGGTGGACTTTTTTTTTTCTGTTTTACCAAGCTGGAAACTGGAACTCAGAGACGTTAAGTAACTACGTGGAGGCGACCCAGCTAGCAAGTGATAGAACCAGAATTTGAGCTTGGGTGCCCATGTCTATTTGAACTCCTTGCTGCCCATGTCTTGCAAACCCAAACCAATGAGACCTAACAATTGTCACACATACAAGCGTTGGGCCACTTCACGTAGCCATATGTGCACACACTTACGTGCACCCAGGTCTGCACCTGGCTATAGCCCTCTCCCTCATCTCCAGCCATTTGGCTGTCTAGGTCCCAGCTGGGGACCATCTAGTGGAAGGGAGAACGTCAAGATAATCTGACACAAGGTCAAGGTGACAGCTTTCCCCCTTTGGACCAGCAAGCACTCATTCTATAACCACGGGTCCTTCTTTGCCTCAGCCTTTTGTAGAAAACAGAGGCTACACACACAGTGTGAGTTTCCTTGGTCTCTATCTGCCCAATCTTGCTTTGCCAGTCTTTATTTCAGGTACACAATGTACTAATAATAATGAAGACAATGTTGCATCATTTTATCTGATAACTTTATACTCAATAAATATTTGTATTCATTACTATAGAATGAGAAAAAACACAAAGAAAGAAAAAGGCATTGTATTTGGAAGAAAGCAAGAAAAATCAGTTTGCCTGGAACATAAGATCTGTGTGAATCTGCCCCGGAGAGTAAAGTGAGAAAAGTCCCGTACTCTGGTGCTTAGAGCGGGTCCTTGTGGAGAGTAAGGAACAGTTTACAGTGACTAAGAGACTGAATGCATGAACACACGTGGGAGGGGCGTGGTGTTAAATACCAGAAAAAGTGGTGACCATGTCAAGTCAGAAATGGGGGGCGTGGTGATGGCATTGGCTTTGGTCATGGGGTATTTGATCGGGTCAAGTGGCCAGCAGGCTGCAGCCTTCATACCCTCAGAACTGACTCACAGAGAGGCCACGTCCTGATTCGATGAGGAATGTAAACTCTCCTCCCCAACAGGCAGGGGCCTGTGCCCACCTCAGGCAGGGGCAGCTCGGTGGCAGACCAGCCGGCCAAGGAGGACTTTCCAGGCCAGCAGGCCCGGCCACGACTCAGAGCGGCACTTTCACCAGAGGCCTCGGCCCGGTTTCATGCCAAGGGGCAGGACAAGTGCAAACCCAGATTCTCCCCTCCCCCCGCGAGAGTGGCGGGGGTGCCCACGCCCCTAGGGTGCCCTAGGACAGGGGTCAGGTCACCCTCTCAGAACAGGGTTCCCCTGGGCTCCTGACGCAGAGCCTCTGGGCTGTTTCCCGAACCTTCTGAAACAGGCGGCTGGGCTCCCAGGCCCAGGCTGCCAGGCAGTGTTGTAGGGAGAGGGAGGAAATAGGCCCCCATTGTCCCCTGGGCCTGGCAGCACAATGGGAGCCTGTGTCCCGCCAGCAGCTGTACGTGGCTCTGACTGCGGTGGACACCTGCCTTGGAGAAGCACACAGCCAGGGGGACCTCGTCTGTTTTCACGGCCCTCTTGGTGGGGCCTGTGGGCTGGCTCTCTGTGCCTGAGGGTTGGCATGTCTTAGAAGGTGCTAGCTATTTCAGGCAGTGCGTACACGTGTGTTCATGCCAGTAGGTGTGACCAAGTGCAGGTAAGTGTGTGTGCTTCTGTGTCTGCATGCGGGGACACACATGGGCCCGGGGCTGGTTGGGCGAGACAGCAAGTACATACACATGGGCCTGTGTGTGTGCACTGAGGGCAGGGAAGGCAGCTGAGCACACGGGGGCACACGTGCCTAGATCCTCTCCTTTGCCCACCCAGGGTGTCTTCCCCAAGCACCAGGCCAGGGAAGGCAGAACAGGTGGTGGTGAAACTTCACTGGCAGAAAAGTACTAGAAGATGGGGACCCCCGCTCTTTCCAGTCCGGTGTGTGCAGGCGCACACAGACTCCCTGGATTTCCGGGCCTGGCTGCCAGCTTCACTTGGCTCATCCAAGTCCCTCCTGCCCTCTCTCTGCTGTGGCCGCCCTGCATCCTGGACGATCAAAGACCCTCATCTGGGTTGGGGACCCTCAGACAAGGAGGAGTAGGAAGAAGGACAGGAATGGCTGAAGCTCTCCTAGGTTCAGGATGTTTCTCCAAGGGCTGAGCTGCCCGATTTGGCCTTGCGTCCCTCCCACCCAACCCCCACAGATCGGAGCTCAGCCCACCCAGCCGGCCCTGCCAACCTGGCTGGAATCAGGAAATGAGATTGCAACTCCTTTCAACTAAATCCAGCAAATATTTACAGAGGATCTTCCAAGCACAAGGCCCTGTAACGCTGGGGGCTGTGCGGAGAGGCTCTCTGCCAGGTCCCACCTCCCGGATAACTCCTGGCTTCAGGTTAGGGGCCAGGAGGCCCCTACTGTGGGGCTTTGCTCCCTACCCCCACCCACAGCTGCCGCCAGCATCCCAGCCCCCACCTCCCTGCAACAGGCCACAAATGGAGGCCTGCCTGGTGAGGGTGCCTCTGGGAGCCTCCTGGAGAAAACGTCCTGCTGCCCCTTCCTGCCTCCCAGGTTCTCTACCCAGCCCCCTGCACCCAGAGGACCCCTCTGAGGGGCGGCTAAGGGAGGAGAGGGCAGAGGACACCTGTCCTCTGATGCTCTCTGGTATCAGGAGTCTGGGAGCCGGGGCTGGCTTTCCCATTAGAAGAAAAAGCTATCCCTCTTCCAAAGGGGCCCTTCTGCCTTCACAGGCCAACCAGCAGGCAGGTTGGTTGTGAAGCTCCTTTATCCTGTGAAGCTCCCTGCCTGTAACCTGGTCTCCAAAGCGAAATGTACAGCCCAGCCCTTTGGATGAGGCATAAACATAGTCTTTTTTTTTTTTAATCTAGAAACTGAAGAAGAATTTACCAAATAGTTAATAAATGGATTGACACCGTGCATTTCCTCAGCCTCAGTTTAAGACAGCCCTGAGTCCTGGAAGGTTTTCTCAGAATCTAGGGGATCTTGGGGATCTTGGAGGGTGAGCTCCTCTCTGAAGAGTTTGGGGGTGCCTTCCCATTACTGCCCTCGTCCAGCCAATGGCTTCGTTTACAACTTACTAAGTGCTCTGGTGTGTCCCCGGTGTGGTTGGTTTTATAAACACGATGCCTTAACAGAAGAATGTTTTCATAGTTTGTAAATGAGAGGGGAGTAACAGGAAACTCTTCCTTAGCCCACAGGTCTCCTGGGAACCCAATTTAAAGACAATTTGTGCGTTTTTCTTTTACAGAAAGATGAATGGGTTCTAGATTCATTGACCATCAACATTAGTAGTGAATCCCAGGGAACACTTCAGGCGAAAAGAGTCAGTTCTAGCAAGCTGTAGGGGACATTGTAACACTAAGGGAGGAAGCAACAGCATTTCAAATACAATGTATGCTAAAGAGAGAGCACTTTGAAATGGTTATTTGGAAATGTTGTCATCACAAGGTGTTCTAATTACTGAGAACTTTTGTAAACATGTCACCTATTAAAAACTCTACCAAGTTGAAAAAAAAAGCTTGAAAAATTTTCCAAAGAGTGAGAATTTTGAATCTGATTGTTACAAACACAAAACCACAAAACCTTCCAATTGTTTTGTAAGAATAACTAAAATCAGAAACTGGAAATTGACAAGTGAAATGTCAGTTAAGTTGCACGACGGATGAATGGAATGATTTATTGGGCATAGCACAGGCTGGAGGCCTGTCATTTGGCGGGGTATCTCTTACAGCTGTGGTCATTACGAATACCAACAGTCAAAATAAATTGAGCTAGATACTCAAATTGCTGTCTCACAAAGTATTAAATATTTAAAATGTGATGTGTACAACCAGACAGAACAATGAGCATTTTAATAGAAAGAACCTTGATAGCATCCCTGAGCCCGTGGATCGAGCCAGCTCGAGTCTGTCCTGCTTCCAGACTCCTGGTTATATGGGGTAACAAATATCCTTACTCTCCCATGTCTGATAATAGAGAGATTTCTTCTATCTTATTCTCTAAGCCAGGACCCAGGCTGTCTTGGTCTAGGGTTTTCACTCTTAACTACTGCATGGCCTCTGATCCTCACGCTCTTGTTTGAAAGAGAGAATCTCTTAATCAAGGCAATTGCCCACTTAGAGAAATTTCTGTCCGGTGCCTTCGACCACTCCCCCATCCTAACACCCTGAGAAATTTCTGTTTGTTGAGTTTCACTTAGGACAACTCATAAACTTCTTTCTATCTGGCTGTGACAACAGTAATGGCCCATCCACCCATATGTGCAGACATGAGTCCCAATCTTGAAATTTGGCATCTTGAACAGAACAGACACCCCAATGATATCCCTCCAAGGACCATCAAACAGCAAGTCAAAGACTGCCCCAAAACCATTTCTAAAGTTCCCATAACAATCTACCCCAAAGGGGACTTTCAAACGCTGCCACTTCAGTGTGAGTGCTCCTGTGCCTTATGAGCCATTGTAAGATTAAGGCAGAAATAATACACACACAGGAAGAGGCAGCATAACAGGCAGCTCTGGAGTTGGGCTAGCTTGGACCTGTGAACTTGGACTAGTTGTTTGAGCTTTTTGTGCTTTAGTGTTCTCATCTGTAAAAGAAAAAAAAATCAAAACAATACATCATCACACGGATGTTAAAGAGATTAAATTAGTCAATATTTGCAAACAGTACCTGGCAGAGTATATAAAGAACACTTACAAATAGCAAGAAGATAACCCA